CCTTTATATAAATAGAACGTTCCAGCAGTGACGTTAAGTTTTTTTTTTTTATAATGCGGTTCACGATTGACCACAGACCGCTTTTAGTAGAAACAAAAAAAAAAAAAAAAATATTTAACAACATAATATAATATAATGATATCAAATAAATTACGAATAAAAAAGTTCCGAAAAATATGCATAATATACGTTTAGGTGTATAGTTTTATGTATTGTTTAATAACACATAATGTATTATAATTACAACAACAATAATTATATAATATTATAGCGTATCTACCTATACATTAGATAACGTGTAGCGAACATCTTCGAGGATTAACTCTGATTAAAGTCACGATAATATTATTTTATCGTATGTATATATAGTACAAGCTCATAATATAGAACTTCAGCTATACACATAGGTATTACATTATTATTCGAACCACACAACGTGCGAATTTATACAATTTCCGGTTCGATGGTTTACTGCATTAACCTTACATCGCCGATTTGGGGATTTCTGATGGTTTTCGATTTAGCGCTTACCGATCATCATCTCCTCGGCACGCTCGCGATATAGGGATGTGACGACGACGGTGATGGATATATATTATATATGTACAATAATTTAATATGGTTCATTCGTGTGTATTACACGCCACACGACGTAACGTTACACAATATTGTACTAACTATGTAAACGAACGATATACATATAATATTAATATAATATTATAATAAATAATAATGTGTAGGCAGGTACCTGCAGGACGTGACGGATAGCCGCATTTGTATATGCGTTGATTGGATGGGTGTGCGTGCGTTGACGCGGCATTGTTGGGGAGGGGGTGTGAGAAGAGGAGGACAGAATTCACTCGAGTCCATTTCGAGTCACTTCAGACTTCTACTAGGTAAATAATTATATTATATTATGTTGCTTTTTCTCGTTCGATGGCCGTTTTTTATTTTGTTTCAACAGTGATACATGTATATAATATATATACACTATGCATATATATATAAGTATCAGAGTCCTTTTTGGATTCAGAGCGGAACGAGTAATGATGTATACTATTGGTTCAATAGAACGACAGGCGTACTTGTTTTCAGTTCGAAGAAGGTGAGCTCCAAAAGTTTCACGAAACCCGTTTTCTGGGTATATATCAAATATATATCAAATGTATTAGAAATTTAACACAGGTAGGAGGCATTGAAAAGACAATTTTTGGAACTTTCAAATAGTTTTCCGGTCAATTGCAAAAAAAAAAAAAAACAAAAAAAAAAAACTAACTTTACTCGGAAAAAATACAAAGCTCGATATATAAACGTACGGAGTCAAAGACGTTTTTAATCTAACAAATAATTTTGGCCATCTAATGGAATTCAGATGATAATATAAAATAACGGATATTTTTGGCATGCCTGTTTACTGGATTGTGGACTTAAGTATTCTCAAGTTGTTATGCATTGATTTCTCATATCATGTAAACAGTATAGTATAGGTGCACAATGACATTTATATAACGAGTGGCACACGCACTTAGATAAGCATATAGTTTTTGTAGAAATGAGTAATTTGCAAACAACGTTTTTACAACCAAAAGTTTCAAGAGAATAATTGGACAGCAATTATAGGAGTTTCATTTGGTAAATGGTATTGAAAGAAACAAATTCTTCTGACAACAATATATACATGCTATACCGACGACTGCGAGGTTAAACTTTGGCTACGTTTCAGCAAAAAGCGTACAACAGTTTCACGTAAGGACAAAAAAAATTGTAAATACATTATTTTAAGAACGAGTACACAAAAAACAATTGGCAAGCATTGAAAGATAAGTTTTGTGGTCGTTAAGAAGTTTAGAAGTTGTTGTTTATATTCATTATTATATTAAGAGAAATTTAATATTTCTTTTATTTAAAATCGCACATAATTAAATTTGAAGAAATAAAACAAAAAAAAAATAATACAAGAAAGAGTATTATCCGAAATATAAGTAAATTAGTATATATTATATTGCAGGCGTCGATTCGCAAAACATGGTCACACAATAAATTGTAAAGTGCATGATTTTTTTGAAAATGTTGACGAACTTTAATAAAAATCTTAAATGTGTTATTAGACTCTTAATTCACTATAAGGATAATTATCCTTAATAATTTGATTATGAGTTTATGACGATTCAAAACAGTTATAAGTTCAGTTTGCTTCATTGCATATCCTGACAATTTTTACTACCATAAAATGCTGAAATACTAATTAGTAATTACTATGTAATTTTCAAATCATCATAGCTATATTACATTTAAATATTTCTTAACTCACTATCATGGATTACATTATCCTTGGGGTATAAAGTTAAATAATTTAGGGACAATTTGGTTAATTTTGATTTATATACCTAGGTACAATAATAGGTACATTGACATTAAAAAAAAATGATTTGCTTTCATTTATTAGAAGCAATTTGTGTTGATACAGGTTAATCTTTAAATTGCATAAAAAATGAAATAATAATCTTTATGTAAGTATACTTATTAATTTTAATAAGTTCGTGGAAAAAATGACGATGAGCATGCTTGGGTGTATCACTCTGTATATATAAATGCGTTTATATTATTATAACAAAAAAAAAACTGTCTCTGTGGGTGAGTATAGTAATTCTTTATGAAATATTTTTTGCTGCTGCGTTATCTCTCGTGAATATGACGTTATTGCCTTAGCAGATACGCTTTTATGTTCGACTTGCGGCTTCGTAAAGAGATCCGGTGGATTTGATTTTACTGTACCTCCCCACTGACATTATCGTTGTGTTTCACTGTTATTGAATTATTTGAGGCCTGCTTTGTTAGTGTTATTTTTTGTTTACAATGATGATTATATCTATAATGATGATCAAGAACCATATTGTTGAGAGATGATTTATAATGTGAACTTAAATTGCGTTCGTTTTTTTTTTTTAATATTATAGTACTATGTGAGAACTTAGGAAATATTTTTTTAATATAAATCACACAGTATATATACTTAAGCCGATTTAAAATATATCTTTATTCGTATAAATAACGCGACAAAAGTATTTCGATTTCAGAATACCCTCAAAACCGTCATATATTATTATTATAACTACAATATTAATCTTTCAATAGTTCATTTAAAAAAATAAAATAAAACAATATTTTATGTGAATTTGAATTAGCACTTTCAATTCGATACATTATACATTTTTAATATTAATACGAAAACAAATCATTCGTAGTATACTAGTATATCAAAGCGCTTATCAAGCCGACCATTAACGTTTGACCTTATCATACACAAGCTTATGTTTTCATAATTTGTGATGCAATTTGGTCAACTAGCGTTCAAACGTATATTATTAGTTCACGTATTCAAGACAAATTAAAATATTGACAATAGTGATATACAACTAACAAGCATTGTCCGTAGATATAGGTAGGAACAACATCTACTTATGATATTGTACTTGTTAAATTTAACTTAAATAAAAAAGTTACTATATAATTAAGACAAATGAACTAAAATAGGTATATTGCATTAAATATGAGTTTATTGAAATGAGCATAATATAAAAAAAAAATATTTTTTTATTTTTAAAATGAGTTCTAGTCTTTTCTTTAATATGGAGTACCAAGTAAAAGAACTTTTTGTCTGATATTTACGTATAAAAATCATATTCTTATTTTATTTGGTGAATACTTATTGTTACCTAATAGTATTATTGTTAGGTACGTTATTATAATATAATATAATGTATACATATTGAAAAATTACAAGATAAAGTTCAAAGATATCAAAAAGTTATTAATTTATAATATTTTCAAAATATTTATAATTTATTGTTCAAAATGATAATACTGATGGAAGTTTATGGACATGTATGGTTGGTTTAAATGTTATTCGATCCTTAAAAAACCTAAGCTTCGTGGATTATGATATTGGTGGTCAATAATGAATTATTTAGAGCTTAGACCAAATAATAATGTTCTATTATAAAAACTGTATATGCACTTTCAATGATTAAAATTAATTATTCTTAATACGCTAAAAAAATGTTTTAATTTATGTTTGGTTTTCCGTTATTTAGTTTCAGACACATTATATTTGATAATTAAATGATATATAAAAGTAATAAGTTTAGATGAATTGAGATTTGACCTTTCGATTTCTATAAGTCATTCTTATCAGCCAATTTTGTTTAAACTGATTGGTGTGGTTTAAATTGTTATATGTACATTAGTGAATAGTAAATAGTATGTTAATATAATATAATAATATATAGTAGGTAGAGAAATTTTGTATTGATTTTATAATGCGTTACTAATGATTAAGTTTCTACCATTAAAATTAAACATTACAGAAAATTCAGAAAAATATAATTTTACGACCAATAGCATCGTTAACAACACTTAAATATTTAAATGATTTAATTTCTTTAATAATACGTATATTTTAATATATTACCTATTAAAGCTAATTTATAAAAATTGGTATTCTTTAAAAGTTTGGGGGAAGGAAGAACTAATAACAAGATAATTCGTATTAAATGTGTGTGATAATGTGTTAATGTGTGTTATTCCTGTTATATTCGAAAAAACGTTGGAATATAACAACCAATGTAATATTATTGCAACTCTGAGCGTGAAATTAGAATTTTTATCGAAAAAATTAAATAACAGTTTTTCATTGCAGTGACGTCATTTTTCTGTACGCACTTTTAATTTAATGTGATTGGAGTATTATGGTTATAGAGTATTTTTGAATTTGTTATTTTAGTTACAAAAAAAAAATAAAATTGCAATAAGCTCATTTTAATACGATAGTCATAAATAACAAACATAATATCACATAAAATAGGCGTTGTCATCGGAATACATGTAGAATATATGATATATTCCAGCCACAAGATCTACAAACATATCTCACATGGACAAAAAGCGTGAAAAAAAAAGAATCGATGAAAATACGTATACGCATAAAATATGTGCCGTACCTCTGTTTCCGTTCAATGTGCTGAGCGATCAGATTGCTGTAGTAATTCTCAAGGGTGACTTTGGCCTTGGTCGCCTTGTCTAGAGTATGTCCGCTCAACCGGATACCACTTTCGGTCGCAGCGCTCATCTCCAATACACCTGTGAAACAGAAAAGAAAAAAATCCAACTAAGTATAATACAATAAAGACAACCGCACGTTATAGGCACTGGTACGCGCAATGCAATTCGTTATTATATCGTTGCTATATATATATATATATATTTTAAAACAATATATATATTTGCGGGCACAAGTATTATTTACCACCCCGTTGTCTCGTCCATACGGAACGGGAAGAAGCTTTATTGGATTTCCTGAGGATCCGATTACTCGAACAAACACATGACAAGGGTGAAGGACAAAAAAAAAACCAATATATGTGTAAAGCATACGTTTTATTATATTATTATTTTTTTGCAACATCATAATCTATACATATATATTTATTGTGAGTAGAAATGTATAATATTATATTATTCCATAATCCGGATCAAACTAACTATAGCATGTGTGGCGATCGCGTCAGTGATTAGCATATATAAATCCCATAACTACATAATAATGTAGCGAAACTATTTACAGGAGACTTATACAAGGTAATTGAAAAAAAATACGTCAGTACATAATGATTTTTTATCGCTCCGGATTTTAAACCAAAATCGAATTTATATCATACGCTCAAATTTTTAATAATATTTGTACAGTTCAATATTATTTAAAACAAGCACACTCGTGACCCAGTTATTAAAATTATTTTGAGAAACAATACAATTCTTTTCACCGGAATTATTGATTATTTTACAACAGCTTTTTTCGCTTTACATACTTAGAAAACAAATATTTGATTAAAATGATAATATATTAAACGAAAATAAGAACGTAGGTGGAACCCCCGATAAACATCGAGACAATACGAGTCGCCCGACGGGGAGGAAATGTGCAGTGCGGTATGGTTGAAGTGCTATGGTACACGCGTACAACGAGGACGAGCGAAAAATGGATTGACTATAAATAAACTAGGCGCTATAAGTATATGGAACGAAGTAGTTTTTTTTTCGCAGTTGATTCTAAAATTATTCCAGAAGGTAAATTAATTATTAACGCGTACTTCCCGACCGGACCACGGTAATTTATATCACGTTATAGGCGTTCGCGTCCATGCATTTAAGTATAAAAAGTGCACGATACGCCGGCTGCAGCTTTGACAGATCTGGGTACCGCTGCTATATAATATTATCATCGGACTTTGAATAAAAAAAAACCTTCAAAATCCTCATTTTTTATTTGGTGTTGAGAGTGTATATAGTATACACGATTTGACAATGCATTGTGTTCCGTGTGCAGCTTACAAAAGGAAAAAAATCACGATTCTCGAATAACAACAGACGCATCGGGATTTGGTTCGGCCGATTAAACATTAAACACCGCGCGGAACGCTGTAAACCTGTCTCTGACGTAGGTATTTAATTTGTCACACGTTGCAGGTATTGTCGCAGTATGCTTACTGATGCGTAAGACAATAATTACATAAATTATTATAATGCACCTGTATAGTCCAGCAAAATTACCTAGGACGAACAGATAGAAGTCGCATCATAACATATTAATAATCAGCGTAAAATAGTGTATCTAGTTATTATTATCAATGCAGTAACATAGCTGTACAGTGTAGGATTGAAACGAAACGAATTCGAAAAGATAATATTTCATAGGCATAAAACAAAAATGACTAGATAGTCGTATACAGAGAACGCGATGACTAAGTCACATGATATACATAGTATTGCCTCAGTCTTATAAAAGCAAACATGAAAAGTTTAACATTCAGAATAATACACTCAACTCGGTTAGTTTTAATGTTACAGTAAATTGATCTATTATCTAAGACTTTATAATAAGTACAGTTAGGAATAGAAATTTTAAATGTGTAACTTTTTTTGTTTTGGAAAATTACTAAAATGGTCATGATAAATTTGTTTAAAATTAAAATATATAAAAAAGCCAAGTGAAAATATCCCTATTTCTTACCTTTAAATTTTATAATAATTTAATTCAATCTATAATGATAAAATGTACAACGACGGAGTAAAATTGATTATCCGGAACCTAAAATGTACTATTATTATCACGGAGACCATACGTCATATAGAATGTAGATATAACGCAGTCCTCATCTTAACTACTGAATTGGTTAAAGCATATAACATGTCTAAGAAATAAATTTGTACTTTTTCAAAACGATAATATACAGACTAAAATATATATATTTTTGAACGCTACATCACATATTTACACACGTAATCTGTGTGTCATGTAAATGATCCAAGTGTGTCGGGTGGGGTCTCCACGGGCTTCTTTCCAGGGTAATCATTCTCTGAATTACATTCGAAAATTATTATCACTAAGGAACCTACACAATATATGTTTTTCATTCAAACATTTCAAAGATATATTCTGCAGGAATTTCGAACTCGAGTTATGTGTTATACCACCTTGCACCTAAATAGATCAAAGACGGTAAGATAATTATATAATATTATTGTACTTTGACGAACAGAGAAAAAAACGGATCCCAACAAGAAAGGGGTTGAGAAATAAAACGTTTAGGAAATAATACAGTGTAATGGAGTACAGTTGTCCGTGAAACACGCGGTCGCGTCTATTATTGATTTCGGAAACCGCCAGCGGCTGCGGACCTGTTGAGCGACAACTGGGCGCCCAGTCAGCACCATTTTTTTACGACGTTCTCGATTCTTGTTCCGTCTACTGACGACGATTTTTCAAACGGGGCAACGTTACGTTATTATTATTTGCTGATCCAGGAACACACGAAAAAATGTAATATCTAAACATTTTATGATATATATAAGAGAAACAATTTAAAATGAAGTATGGAGGCAGAAATTACCTGGACAATATACACGGTACATATACGGCGTTTGCTACGAGTGGAGCAGAAATTTATAGTTCAACGGATATAATATATGGTATGTTGGCCTATATTTTAAGAAATTGATACATATTATGTACCTGTATTATATACGACGCCTGATCGAATCGGCAGTAAGGTAGTGTCGATTTTTGTCAAATCATTACAATTTCATATGTGCACCTATTCCTGACCACAGTTAATACTTTGGGAGCATAAACTATATAATACCTATGTATAAAGTGTATGGGTGACGACAGATGGCGTGTATCTCGAACGTTTTGACGCATTGAAATTCCATTTTATCACGTCAAAGCTCATCAGCTGAGTAACAATATCCAATACCATCACTTGTAAACATAGATTTCTAGGCTGTGTACTTTTGGGAGGTTCAGTTGTAAAATTATGTGTTCATGATGAACATGGTGACGAAAAACCATTTTTTTGATTTATTTTAACATTATTATGTCTAATATAACACACTGCATTAGCTAAATATGTCATTCAACGTAACGTTCATTCATAGTGTTAACATTATCCAAATTTTTAAAAATATTCATGCCGTTGAATAATGGACACATTTGACTGATAGAATAAATTATAGTTGGCAATAATAACTGAACTCGTTACACACATTTTAATGCAATATTTGGATGACCTTGTATATTTTATTAACTTGAGCACCAAGTTCACAATATTTCACTCGAAGCGAAAATATATACGCAGAAGTTTCATGGAATAACAAATTTTAATTTTCTAAATTGTTTTATTGTTTGCACATAGTCTAGCGTTCTGTTTGTCATATCGTTATTGAAAATATCAAATTTTAATATATTATATTGTATTGCGAAACTCATACGTTATTATCACCATCAACAATTCATAATGGTTTGTAAACTTCGCCCAAATTGCATATTAAAGGTTGGGCAGCTAAGTGTTTCTTGATTATTTTTTTGGTGTCATACAAACGGAAGTCGATAATCTAAAAGGTATAGCTAGTTAAGTATATACAGAGTCATTATGTTTTTCGTAACTCATTTGCAAGTTGAAACAAAAAATTTTAAAGGTAATAATTTACTATGATTATAGTCTGTTGTAATAGTTATTTGTATCGTGTAGAACATTCAACTATAATAATCTGCAATAGTAGAACAATGTATTCAAAACTTTTATTTAATTTAAATATTTTACCATTTATTTCACTACTTTAATTATCTTTTTAGACTTGTACTTTTTTAAATAAAAATATTAAACGGTTTAAATGTTATATAACACAGCAGAAACCTAAACAGATAAGTAATTATATGATGTCTAAAAATAATAAAAACAAAGTTAACTGGAAATTGTGCATGTAATAAGCATTATTGTTTAAGGACGTGACCAGGATTTTTTTTTTGGAGTGGTGGGTCTTTGAAAAAAAAAATTGTCTGCAGAAATGATTGTGTCATTTTTTATCCACGCAAACGAGATTATTATGTCGTTTGTCGTTTGGTATAGTTTAGTTCTTATAAATATATAGGTGTATCTATGTGCGTGATAATTGACCACATCATTTGGTATTTTTTATTTATTATGTTTATAAAAATCGCTAATAAATTTTCCGGACCCCTGGACCTCCTTGAAATTTGGATACGTCCCTGATAGCATCAATTCGTTAGAAAAATATCCGTTGCATACATATTGCACAATGCACGTATAATATTCTGCAGTGGACTGCGGCGAAGGGGAATGCCTCGGTCACCCACGCCTGGTTATTAATCTATTATAACACATAATAACAATTATCTTCTCTTTGTCATCGGTATAGAGGGGTAATGTATAACATATTATGATCAAATATAATGTTATAAAGTAACACGAAACCTGGCTGTCAGCGGATTGGGATTGTCGTGTTACGTTGCCACCGGAAGCGCTTCCCGCGAGACAAAGTCTGCATTCGACGGGAATGGAGTACAGTGAAGGGGGGGGGGGGGTGGAGGGTTGTGGCGAAGTCGACCCCGCACTGTCACTCAAAATTTCAAGTTCACTTAGGGGAAGATTTTGTTGGTCTTTAATATGTGTTTTTGTCTTCAATCGTGAAACCCTTAACCGGAATGGAATACTTCGCATACATTATTCGTACATTAAATTTCATACGTATAAATATTTCATCTTGAACATAATGGATAT